TAAGTGTAATATTTTAGAACATCTTGCGTAGAACGATCTGAAATGGTGTACTAGAATGAATACTTTAGTACTAACATTTAAGGGAAGAAATTATATTTTGTAAACAATATAATTTGACCAGTTTTTAGATTGGTTAAACAAAATATGCAAAGAGTCAATTACAACAATGTGTACGATGAATTGCTACACATGATTTCATTGTCAGAATATTTTCAGTCATCATTGCTGTTTAAACGGATTTTACTGAAGTTTTACCTGATTACTTTGTTTTACAAAAGTGATAAGAAGCTGACTGTTATCAAACAAAATTTCAATCAGATGGATTTTGAGAGAAAAAAAAGTAATATTGTGTGCCTATTATCAGTGGGGGTTGTTTTTTTCTAAACTAGCTTTAACGGGTTATTCCTCTTAAATTAAGTTATGTTTATTTACTCTTAACTGCATTCTCACATCATAGCAAACATTAAGATAGAATTTAAAATGATATTTCTACTATACATTGAAGTTTTAACTCAAAGAGTAACTACTACAGTTTTGGCTCTTTGGGCTACAATTCCAATCACAAATTGCCTGACTACACACACCGTTAAATACAAGATTGAATTAGAAGTTTTTGTCTGCTGCATCCATCTTCCCTATTACTGACCCAATAATTGATTATTACTCTGGGAATAAGCTTTTCTATTGGGAAAGGTTACCACAGTGAGCATATTCCAAACTACAGCCAGGATTGATGAGATATCACAGTACACTGTGGTCTGTATACTAATATTTTCACTGTTTTAAATCAGGATTTCCACTCACACTTGTAAATTAAATTCACAGTCTTAAGGGTTGTATTTGCTTATTTATTTAATTTTGTTAGCTAACAACAATAATGCACTTTGTCAAGGCAGGAACTTGGCGATATAAAGCAATAGTGGACATTTTTAGCTCTGTCCACAAATTTTGGGCAATGATATTCTGCTATGATAAATATTATACAATTAACACACAATTAAATTAATTATTATACAAATAAATATTATATAATATATTAATACAGATTTCTGATTTCGAAACCAAAGTATCTAAAATCAAAGATTTTTTCAAACCACCAAAACAGTTCAACAGTTTTGAGGAATTGTAACTGGCCCTTTCCAATTTGAAGGATTTAACTGTGATATTTACATCTCAATCACATAGTTTTTCATAGTTTACCAAATGTATGTTCATTTGTGATTGTAACGTTTGGTTAAGTACCCTGTTAATCTCCCTACTTCACTCTAATGTAAGTTTCTTGTTCACAATAACAATATTTACTCTTCTCAAAACAACCATTTGAGTTGAAAACGTTTAATTCCTAAAACAAACTAAAATTATTTATTGTATGTATTCTGTAATGAAACCACACTGTACTAAATTACTGGATGTAAAATGTAAATTATTATATCTGGATTAAAAGAAAAGTTATTATTTGTAACTAGATGCAGTAACTTACACCATAGTTCAAGTTTTACTACAACTTCCAGCATTTTATTGTATAAAATGCACGAGTACGAACAGAAGATGCATGGACCAGACCTTCTCCCTCTCTCTCTTTCAACACTGATGACTCACCGTGTTAACAGTACTGCACTATATTTGTTATCAAGTCCTTGGTGTAACACTTACTCCATTGTATTATTTGTACTGCATTATTTCTAGGCTTTAAATTTTGTGGCCTGTAGAAAACGTTTTCCCACTATTGTTTTTTCTCCTTCTAGATAAGTGAACAAACAGCTTAAGTGGGTTCCAAACTACCTGGTCACAGACCCCAAAACCTATGGTGTTTCACGGGATTTGTACCCAGGCATGCTCTAACACTGGCCATTCCCTAGAGTTAAGAATCATGTGATTATTTATATTCATTCTATACAAGAATAAAGTTATTTAAACAATTAAATAAAAAAAAAAACTGTAAGACACTATTACAATTTATATTGGCCATTTTTACTGAGGGTGTTTTTCTTTAGACACTCAAATCATTATTGTAAATACCCCCGCCGCAGCAAACCTGCAGACTAAGCGAATTTCCATATGTCTGATTGGATTTACACTAAAATGTCTACTTAAAAATTTAACATTTATTTCCTATTTAAATAGAATTATTTTAACAGGTACTTAGGTTTGCTGCATCAGGGAGGGTAAAACTTTTTTTGTATAATGTTAATAGTTAGTAAGAAATAAAAACATTTTCCAAATTTGATCAAAATATGTTCATAAACAAGCAAACTACAACAGTTTACTCATTCTCCATAAGAATAACATGGGAATTTAAAATTTACATTTTTTTGGAATTTTCTCCGTAACCATTAGGCGCATAGTAACACTTCAACATACTAAATTCTTTGTTTTTTTAAGCTCTACAAAATGGTTTGAAAAGATTTTGCAAAATTGTATTTTTTTTGGGTCAAAAATGGGAAAAACCTATTTTTACCCCATAAAACCCCCCGTAAACCCCCGTTCCCATAGTCCGATCATGCTGGTTCGCGAACTCGTTCGAGTTTATCCCACCTTACACCTTCAAACCAAATTTTACCAAAATCGGACAAAAATTACTCAAGTTATCGTGCGGATGGACACATATATATATATATATATATATATATATATATATATATATATATATCTATATATAGATATATAAAAATTTGAACGAATGGTGTTTTTGGCCTCTGGGGACATCAAAATGAAAAAGTAAATCGGTCCCGGGTCTAGGTCTTACCGTGCCACCTACGGTAATAGCTACTTCCCTATAGGGAAATTCGCTAAAATGTAATTAATTCATTCACGGAAGAAAACATTTTCCCCTCTCTAAATCACAACAGCCTGTTATCACAGAATTGTTCACAATTCAACTCCTATCATTACTTGATAGTGAATCTTATTTACTCAAAACACACACTAAATGGTTACAACACAAGGTAATTTTGTTTCTTGACTTATCAATATCTTATATTGCAGTGTCAAATATTATACCGGTACCTTTGATTGCATTACAAACTTAAATGGTTTTATTTAGTTAGGTTTTATTAAAAAACGATTGCCTAGTTTATATTTAAAATGTCATTAAAAATATTCATTTACAATATGAGGTTTTAGATCAATTATCATATAAGCAACCAACCCCCTGGACCACTTCCCATTAAAAAGACTAGGCCCAGAACAAAAAAAACCTAACACATACTGTGACGAACAAGCAAGTCACTTAAAAGAGAACTACAGTATCTGAACTCCCTGAAAGCATTTCCGATCTCAGGGTTTATTGCTGAAAAAGCCATCATGACTGCCAGAAAGAAGATTATGACCTAAAGTTAAGAAATATTAAACAATGCTATCACCAACTATATTGCTTGATGACAAAATAAATCCTAAGCCTTGTGGAATGTCGTAAATTCTGAGTGTATAACCAAACAATCACGGACGAGGAGCGAGCTGGTGTAGTGGTAGAGCGCGGGACTTCAGTCCCTGAGGTCCCGGGTTCGATCCCCGCCAAGTCACCAATGGATTTTATCCAAGTGATAATGCCGCAACCCCTAGGTCTAGCCTGAAGTAATGTGAAAACAATCCCAGGCTCGTGCCTAGCGTCCTAGGAGAAAAACCTTACAATCACAGGAACCAACACAAATTTCAACTAAAAGTAGACAGATAGCTGGAAGAAAATCATAAAACTATAGCTAACCATCTCAACCTCTACTTCTCTCAGATTGGCCAAAAAACCCTAACCACAAATCTACAGTTGGATTACTCACCATGCCAATTCCAGTTTCAACCCGTAACTATCAGAGATGTAAAAGATAAAGATGCCATAGCTATCGTGTGGAATTGATGAGATTCCAGCTAAAGCTGTAAAACACTGTGCAAATCAACTCGTAATTCCATTAGCAGCTATCATCAATAGTCTTCCACCCTAAGTCAGTTCCCAGTTCCCATCCTTACTGCCTCGAAAATATACCCTTAACACAAAGGCTCTGTTACAGATGTTGAAAATTACCGCCCCATTTCACTCATATTTGTCTTCTCCAAAGTAATTGAAGATAATGAAAATATTGTTGTAAACCAACTAATGGCACTTATTACGAAAGAATCAAGTGCATTGTTGAGTTCATCATTGACCAGCTAGAAGAACGCAAACATGCCTCATCAGTAATGCTTGATAGCAAGGCATTTGATTGTCTGGGCCACAACCTTATCTCAAGAAAACTACCTTGTCTTGAAATTAAAGGCAGGCCGAATGCATGGTTTGGTAACTACCTTCAAGGACGAACGCAAGCTGTCTAAATTCACTAAAGTCACTTCTTAAACACTGTTCTTGCAATTTTGCAGTCAAATCTATGTACTAAATTTAAGTTGTACAATTGTATGACGCCATTGAAATTTCTTGACAAAACTGCAAATAAAGATTAAAGAAGAGTTCGGTACTAAAGGGCTAGGAAATAGAATAGTAACATTTTTGGCTAATTCACATTATATTATACATAAGAACCAACAACAAAAATTACAATTACATTTACAGTATTTTTTTTCTCTTCATGCATCACAATAGACTAGCCTATGCACTAATATAAAATTTTTCCCTTACCAATTTACAATATGGTCTAAACAAGATAGTTCAGTGGAAGCATTTATGTGAAGAAGGCAGAGAGAGACTAACTGCATGCACTAATTTATCACATGCCACCATTAGCTTGTCCTTCAGTAACATTCTTGAGATCACCACCCAGACCAAGAGGAATACGGTAACAGGCAGATGAGGTTTAGTAAATGTACACAAAGACATATGTTTTGAATACGGTAACAGGCAGATGAGGTTTGGTAAATACATGTACACAAAGACATATGTTTTGAATACGGTAACAGGCAGATGAGGTTTGGTAAAATACATGTACACAAAGGCATATGTGTTATGAAGTTTAAACATTGAAAAAACATTTATTTGTTCTAAACGTGCATGGACCAACAATAGGCTAGTTGCTCACCAAGCCGAGATCTGGTTTTCCTGAAGTCACGTAGTTCACCACAGACTCCGTCCAAGCTTTGAAGTCATCCTGTAACGAGTCTTCATCTCCTAGAGTGAGGGGGATCACACGGTCGGCGCCCAGCTTTGATAACACTTCATCTACCTGTTTGCCCACCTGGGAAATCATACACAGTGTTTGAATTAACAAATTCTTCATGTTTACCAGGATTCAATAACATTTCATAAAATAATAAATAAATAAATAAAAATAAAATATTAATTTACTGATTTAATTAATAACCATACATTCCTCCAGCAATTAATCCTGTAATCGTCTCCTTCGATCATTGCAATATCGTGATCATTGCAATATCGTGATCGTCTTTCACACTTGTGGAATTTCTGTGATCATCCACTGCAATCAATCTTTTTTTTCTCATAAATTTCTTTAGGATGACCTTAAGAGAATCACTCTGTTTTGAGTAGACCCTTGGCCATAAGATATTAACAACTATTTCCAATTTTCCGGTACCATGAAAAATTCATGTACAATGTACAGACGTTTTCTCAATCATCAAAAGGTGGTTTGGATTAGCGGAACTACAATAGTCAATCACTGGCTTTAACTTAATCATCATTAGTCTATTTTTAAATAGGTGACACATCACTAGTCTAAACATCTTAGAACTGGACCATTGTCCGAATTAGAGAAACCCAAAATATCAGAAATAAAAAGTAAAAGATATGACAATGCATAGTTTCATTTATAAACATTGGCTTTCAAAGTTAACTGACGTTTGAACCAAAATCAATTAATAATATTTGTTAAAGGCTACTTTTTATCTTAAATCCCAAAGAGGAGCTCATTAAATTAAAATAACTCTTCATGGGTCTCTTTGATTTTAATACACGGTCGATGTCAAAAGAAGTTTTTGCCCAAGTATTGAAATATTAGACCAACAATCTAATTTTATAAATATATCAATACAAAAAGGTATAAAAACCATGCCCAATCATTAAAAACATTAAAAAATGTTACACATTTTTTATAGCAAACAGAAACAACAACACCATAGGTAACACACGGAACTACACTTTGGGAATCCTCCGTGCGAGCGGTGATACATCCACCGGGCTCTGTGCTACATGACTCCTCAGACTTCATCTCATTAAAAGGGATTGTGCGGCGGAATGGGTCAGAGAAAAATAATGTTCAATCAGTTCCTAGAAAGAGGCCCGTGAGGTACTCTTAGATCTGCCAGCTGGCGGTTCATAAAAACATATTTTTTTATAAAAACAAAAATGTGCCCGGAGGAAAACTTTGTGGTGTCACCTATGAAGGTTAAACATTTTCCATTAGGCCTAAATAAAAAAAAAAACCTCTAACATAATTAGTTTTAGAAAGGAAGATTTTTTCACAATATCTCAAATAAATTGAATAGAAAACCAATTGCGAATGCTATTAAATTAACCCACTATGCAAGTTGTAGAAACTTCTTTTTTTTTAACACGTTCAGTGCTGACTACAACAATTGATGTAGTTGCGCAATCAGCACTACATTAGTTCAGTATGAGCTCAGCCATTGCCGGGGAATGTTAAAATTGTTGCTAGCCTGTAGCTTGGAATGTGAGCTTTATTTTAGTGTAGGTTGGTACTAAAATTTCCCATAAAATCCCGTCTGACAATGGTTTTGTACCGGTTTTGAGGATTTTCTCTCTTTAAGCAATATTACAAAGCCACTGACTACTGATCCAGGCAGTGCTGCTACCTTTGGGTGTTTTAGGGAACTATGTCCAATCTCGGGCTAACGTAGTACAATGGTCGCTGCTCTTTTGTTATTCGTCAGATTGAAATATTTGAATGCCAATTGTGTTCGCTGTTACGGTACAGAGCCGGGGCTTCGCCGCCAATGGCGAGCGCCTGTTGGAATGCCTGCCGCAATGATCGTGTTAAGAGGTTGGCGGACTTTTAATCTCTGCATTTTCCGTCAACATCGCTACTGGACCTGTGCGTAGAACGTATCCAGCAAAACAAGGGGTGAGCTGGTACAGTACAAAGCTGTAAAAAGTAGTGGCAGTGAACAGGCCACCGACTCACCTAACCGTTTATACAGTAAACAAAAACATCTGAAATAATAAAAACATCAGCATTTAAGGTATAATTCCTACAATCACTTACTTTGTTGTAGTGTGATTTATATTGAGAATTTCCTAAACCAAACACTCCATATCTTAACCCCTTGAATGCTCCCTTGCTGTATCGAAAGTCATTTACCGCATCATGAAGCCAATTGTAGAAAAAGCTCATATTTTGAGGAGGCATTCCTCCATCATGAGTTGGCAAAAGGAACAGACACATGTCCTGTAAAGAAGCCTGAAAAGAAAGACTCATTAAAAACTGTAATCCGATTAAGAACTATGGGAAGACTTGGTACTGTCATTAAACCTTAAAGCTCCTAATTCACCAGTATTTTAGCGCCATTACATGATTTTTTTAAATAATAACTAAAATGTCTATTGAATGAAGTAGGTCTACTAACATTATTTGAACTAGCCTACTGAGTAGGTCTGAAAAAAAATCTTTAACTCTAGTTTAGGCTAAAAACTTAATAAAGCCAAGTTTAACAATCTTAAAAATGAGCGATTGTTGAAAAGACACTTTTTGCCAGTGTGATGAACTATATTTTAAGTCATATTGCACTATTATTTGAACAAATTATACTACAAAACTAAATAGTTTTCTTTTAAAGTAACCTCATAAAACTACTTCTAACTTGTTCTCAATTTAATTTGTATATAGAAACAAGCAGCGGTTTAGTACATGAATCAATTGTCTCGTCGATTGTGTTAGTTTACATTAACCCTTTGAGGTCAATTTTTTTCATTTTTAGGCGAGTTTAGGTTACCATTTGAGCAGTCGGGAAAATGGCACCCGGCGACCTACACTCGCCATTCGTCCGCAAAGGGTTAAACTATCCATATGTCAAACTATTTACAATAAGGCAACAATAAACTACAATCAATTAAACAATCGATACATACTTTCGTTACATGCGAATGTTTACAATCGAAATTTACAACTGAGTTGACATCAGGTGATTTTTACTCCCTAGGGGCTAAAAACGATTTTTACTCCCTAGAGAGTAAAATGACTAAAATGCCTCTTCATATCCGCAACGCATGCATTAAAAACGGCTGTTTTTGTTGCGCAGTATGACAAAAACTACATTGGTTTTTGGTTATCAAACTAAAAATAAAATTTTTGTACAAAGTAAAGCCGGACAGTTTCTTAGCTTTTTGTGTCTTCATGGGATGGTGGTCCCAACTAACAATGCATTGATTAACGTTTAATTCCTTTTAAATGTGTTATTCAGAGCTTAATCATTTTACCGTCTAATTGGGAAGGGTTAATTTGGCAATGAACTCTTTCCTCGTTGATTTTACCATAAACAACAATTTTAGTTTTTTAGGGATTTTAGTAATTCATGATGTTAAATCTATTTACTACTACAGAATTCTCTTTGATTTTGAACTTTTTTTGTTTTTCTTCACTAATACCAACCAAGTGATCTTTCTTAATATAGGGTAGGTACTAGAAGAGTACCTGTCCTTCAACCCCGGTTGGCGTATACTTATAAAATGATTATTGCAGTTACTAATGGCCTGCATTTGCAATAGGAGAGGACATGGTTTTAGAAATTTTGGTTCTTTAAATTTACAGTATGCTAATTTATAACACATCTACCATAGCCATAATGTTCTACCACTGCACCTAAACAATAGAAAAAAGTAAATGATCAAACATTAGCACAATGTCAAAAATTATTTATTAAATTAAAAACATAAACATAACTGTAAACAATAATACTTTGACAGTTCTCATTGTGTATCACAGCTTTTTTTTGCTGCTTAGTATTGGCAATGAAAACAAACCCTTTAAGAAGCGAAATGCTTATGGAGAATAGTCAGACTGGAATTTTGCCGCCGAAATGAGCTTTGCACGGCCGTGGCGGCCGTGATCGCTCGTGCGGCGCACAACTCAGAATCTCTCTATCTCTTTCTAAGTAGATTCTTTGTTTCACTCGCTTTTACTCAGTCAACTGACTTGGCCGCACGCTCGCAATGGTCCACCTAGTAGCAGCCGCCGCGGGAACTATAAAAAATTCAAATATTTCCAGACTGAATTTGTATAAAGCCATTGCGCTTCTTAAAGGGTTTGTATTCATTTGCATTGGTTTTATTACCTGTTTTCATCAGTGTAAAACAAATATAAAAATAGTGCTGCACCCTGTTGGTAAATCTTGTAAGTTTGTAATACTATTAAATACCATAGAACCAACTTGTTTAGTTGAAACAAATAGCAAAATGCTTTATTTCCTTTACAATTTTAAAACTCATAAGAATAACATGAAAAATTTGAACCTCTGTGGGCCGTGGGGTATAGCCCTATTACAACTTTAATATGCCTATACGTTTCTCAAGACTATCAAGTAGGCCTACCACTCTACAAACTGTCAGCTCGATCAATCCAGTAGTTTTCACGTGATTGAACTTCAGAGTTGCACACAAACATCCATACTTTCACTATTATAATATTAGTCTGATATACATGACTAGTTACAACCATAGACAAAAAGAATTAAATATAGACTGTCAGCCGTGCTGCGGTTACCATGGTTACCATAAGTTCCGGCGCACACCGCTGTAGTTTACGTAGCGCGTACGCTGTAACTACCGTGGCGATCCCAGCGGTGTGCGCCAGAACTTATGGTAACCGCAGCACAGCTGACGGTCTATATTTCATTCTTTTTGTCTATGTTACAACTCAGCCATACATCATTAAAGAACATAACATTTACCTAAATAAGAAGTTGAGGCAATAAATTAAGTAACTAATCATACTTACGTATTGCAACATCAGTTCTTCTGCATCAATATTTATAATATTAAATACAGCCACATCTGTCACCTTCTTCAATTCTTTCCTTAATTCTTCGCTTAGACGCTAAAAATTAATAAGATGGAAGAGTAAATTAAGATACCAAGAGACAAACTACACAACAGTTAACTAAAATGTTAACCCGTTTGCATCGGATGACGTACCAGTACGTCAGCAGCGAAATTTGAAAATTAGATTTTTACCAAAAATGTAGGCCTACCATATAGGCACATTTAACACATTTAAATTTGTTCATCAAAATATTATATTCCTTGAATGATTTGATAATTAGTAACACAGGCAGGCATGCACAAATTTTTTTGAAAAGTATAAAAAATAGTGTACCGTAAACATATCCTAAATATGTATAAAATAGGCTACATAATAATATACATATAAATACATTTTTTTATTATTTTCAGCTATAAAATACTAGCCTATAAAATATTATAAAATAAATAGTCTAATATATTTTTTTTGTTTTATTGATAGGCCTACCGGGATTTTTGGTAAATAAATCAGACAATGCAAATGGGTTAAGGAAGGATTCTTTCTGTCTTTATAGGTCTTAATGTATTCAAAATTGAGATAGTGATTGAGTAAGAAGACCCTTAGGAACTTTTCGACAAGAACTATTTTACGACAGTTGGTTTTCAGCGATTACCTTGTGCTACGATCTTTTGACTGAAAACAGACTTACCTTTGTAGGAACTCTCAGAAGAGACAAGAGAGAAATTCCACGAGATTTTGTTGACAGTAAAGATTAATCTTCAGTGTTTGCGTTTCGAGACAGGTGTACTATGGTATCGTACAAAGGGACAAAAAAGGAGAATGTACTTCTGATCTCTTCCATGCACGACGATGATAGGACGGATATGGACATCGAGTCATACTCGTATGGAAAGCCGGAAATTGTTCTTTTCTACAATACTAACAAAGGAGGTGTGGATACAGTTGATTGTTATAAACAACATTATTCAGTTTCGAGAATAACCAACCACTGGTCAATGACAGTGTTTTTCGCTTTGCTGAACATAACATCTCTGAATGTCTTCATAATTTTGAATGAAAACAGAAATCAGCCAAAAATATCTAGAAGATCATTTTTGAAGAGCCTTGGAATGGATCTATGTCTAGAGACACTACATGACATCAAGAATATCTGTTTGTGGAACCCCAGGGTTTACCAAAGAACAAGTAATCTGCCGACAATGTGGCGGACCACCTCTGGACATCCCGGCGATGGAGTAACAGAAGGGCGGTGTTTCAAATGTGATTGGAGGAAAAAACGAAAAACAAAAACAAGATGGATAGTGTCAAGGCTTCAAATGCAGGGAGCACACCATATAGCTCAGTGCTTTGACTGCAGGCAAGGCGAGGAAGAGATGGAAATGAGCGATGGTGAATAGGCACTACTAGCACTTAAGGGATAGTAGCAAGTGAAACATGAACTATTATTATTAAGTATTATTAACTATTACTATTTCATATTTCATTATATTATTTTATTGTAATTATATCATAATTAACCATTTATAAGGTTTACATCAAATGTAGTAACTTTTATAAGAAGTTTTTATAAAATCTTTCTTTTGTTATAGCAATTTTATGTGTAATAAATTTGCGTAATAATAGATTTCCGAGCGGAATCTGCTGTTTTTTATGATGCCCAGGGTGGGGCGTGCCAGTGCTGCCAACTTTATTCATTTGGCCATCATGAGTCACCCAAGATGGACCTTTGTTTATTGGTTTTGACCTATTTGTGTGTGAAGAAAAATATACTATAAGGAAGGGGGAGGTGGGCTGTTCACCCAGTGAATCAAAGTTGTAGAGTAGATGGGGCTTTCACGGTGTGTCCTGAAATTATTGTATTATCCAATGATTTGAACAAAAATGTAAACTTAAATATGCCTGCTCTGATAATTCTTTCTCCGATTAAATCGCTTTTTTTGTACCCTTCAATCGAGTACAATAATCATCCATTAATTTACAATGATTAGGCAATTCCAATACTGTGGATGACAGAGCACGGGTTGGTTGGCAGCGCTGCATTCTACTCAACAGAAAACGCTATGGTGTTAAAGGGTTCCATTTGATCCTATGTAAATAACTCCCCGACGAAAAGCACAATGGATCCCGGCCGAGGGAAAACGTCGTGCATAAAAGAGGCCTTATACGCAGCTGATCACTTTATACTTTTTATACTTTTTTACACTTTTATTTGAAATGGAGGGACAGTGATACAACCATGGACCATTTTATTTTACTTAGAGGATGTAATGTTGTTAGGCAATTTTGGATGAATCAGACTATAGAGATCTGAAAATTAGGACCACATACGGTACCTACCTTAAAGATTAGCAAAAACAATATTTTCATCAGTTGAGCCCATCAAAATTACTGGAACATTCAAAATTAATTGTGCTGGTAACTAAGGCTAAAATCTATTAAAAACTCTTCTCAAAGATCGGTAGAGTGATTATCATGGGATACTTTCAAGCCCAGATACTAAACAAGAATAAAGAATTATGGTTTGAACCTAAAATACTAATTGAGTAATGTTCAGTGTGAAGTTGTAGTAAATAATGACCTAAAAACTCTTTTAAGTGGTTTATACTATTACCTATTAATTAAATAATATTAATATCTTACCTTTGAATTTCCAGTAACAGTTCCATACAATATCAACACTTTTGGGACCTTGAATGTTTTTGATTTCTTTGATTTTTTATTCGAATCTTTGAGTTTCTGTGATTCCTTAGTATAAACCTTCTTTGATACTTTTTTTGAAGATTTTTCTCCTAAAAATGATCATGTAAAATATGTTAGGAAAATAATTAGGCCTATGAACTTTAGTGATAAAGTTTTGTATTCACCCACATATACCTTTGCAATTTATGAATAGATTGTTTGTTAACAAGAGTTATAGTTAGCAAAATTAGGGTTTAAAAAAATTGTGTAACAAATTGTTTGCAATGCTAAAATTGTTACAGAAGCTTTGAATGTAGGCCTACATAATATTTTCACGGGATGAGGTAAGCACACAGGCAAATTGTGTTATTAGGTATAGGCATGGACAAAAAGAATTACGGTAAATATAGACCGTTACCATAGGTTCTGGCGCACACCACTGGGAGCACCATGTAGTTGCGGCGTACACGCTACGTACCTACATGGCGCTTCCAACGGTGTTCACCAGAACCTATTGTAACCGCAGCACGGCTGACATTCTTGTAATTCTTTGGCGAATTTCCCATATAGGGAATAAGCTATTACCGTAGTACTCATGGTTAGACCTGGACCCCGGGACCGATTTAATTTTTTGTTTTGAGGTCTCTAGAGGCAAAAAACACCATCCATTCAAATATAGTGTGTCTGTTAGCGCGATAATTCGACCAAAAATGTTCAGATTTTGATGAAATTTGGTAGAAACGTGTAAACCTACGTTTATTCCAATGAGTTCGCGAACCAGCATAATCGGACCTTGGGAACGGGGTTTTATTTGAGGTTTTATGGGGTAAAAATAGGTTTTTACCATTTTTTTTTTGACCCTAAAAACAAAAAAAATTTGAAATTTCTTTCTAAACCATCTGATCTCTACCAAGTGGAGATAAAAATAAATAACGTATTTAATTTTGGCATAAAAAATCCTTAGATTTCATTCATAAACACATAGGCTCTCTGTGTTTGTAGAGCTTAAAAAAAAAAATAATTTAGTATATTGAAGCGCTGTTGTATGCCTAACGTTCATGGAGAAAATTCAAAAAAGTGTACCTAATTTAAAATTCCCATGTTATTCTTATGGAGAAAATTAAAACTGTTGTAGTTTACTTGTTTATCGATATATATTCATAAAATTTGGCAAATTTATTTATTTCATCCTATACTATTGACGTATGGATGCAATTCTTTGGATAATAAAGTATTTTATTATAGATTCTGAACTTATTTGAGTCAAAAACACTTTTACTTTCCCCGTAGCAGCAAACCTAAGCACTTTATAAATCTGATGTTATTTAAATTGGGAATAAAAATGTCATATTTATGGAAATACTAGCAGAGCACCCGTCCTTCCTACGGGGTTGGCATATATGTATAAATGCTTATTGCAGTTATACTCAAGCTTTGCGTTTGCAATGAGGGAGGGCAAAGTTTGATAAAATTGACTTCTTTAAATTTAGGTACAGTATTCTATAGTATTACACATAACTTATAGGCCTACCATAGCCATAATGTTCTACCACTTCACCTAAACAATAGAGAAAAATAAATTACCAAAAATTCAAAAAATATCATAATTTATTCATGAAATCTTAGGCCTACTAATATTAAAAATATAAACAATCCTACTTTAATAGTTAGTTCTCATTGCGTATCACAGTTTTTTGTTGCTGCTTAGTTCAAATTAGCCTAGCTGTTTTAATAAATGCAAAAAAAATATGGTACCATAACAGCTGACTTAATTCTTTAATTCCCTTTAAATATGAATACTCATAAAGTTAACATGGGGAACTACAGAGCCACTGTGGCGGAGCCCAAAAGGATTTTTGAGATAAGAATATACCTATATGTTAATCGGGAATGTGAGCTATCATCATGCCAAATTTCAGCCCAATTCGTCCAGTAGTTGAGGCGTGATTGAACTTCAAACAAACAAACTTTCACATTTATAATATTAGTAAGATTTTAGTAAAAATGTTATCAGACAAGTTGAAATTCGCTTAGTCTGCAGGTTTGCTGCGGCGGGGGTATTTGTCCATGGTATATATAGGTAGTGTATATAGGTAGGTAGGCCCTATATAGGTAGTAAAATAGCGTTTTAATATAGATTGAATACTTTCCACAATATCTGGCACATACAGAGGGAGGACTTTGGGTGTTTAAGCTGGCTTTCTTAGTACTGTATAGCCTGTAAAAAAAAACAAGAGGCTTGGTTCAACCTTGCAATGACCATTTAGGGTAAATAGACGATTTAAAGAAGAGGAAGAAAATCTGTACCTACTTATTATCTTTCGTAGGCTACGCTTCTTTAGTTCAGAATTTGTATCATGTTTAGCCTAATAGTTTACTAGGGGATCTGTGTGATTTCACATGAACTATGTAAGAGTGAACTTTCTTCTTGTAAGAATGAATCTATTCAGTTAGCAAAGTAATCAATACAAGCCTAGACTAACCAACCCAAGTAAACTTATCACACCATTGTACATTTTGAAGCTTGTTGTTTTGTGTCTAGTTCATGTCTGGTGACACTGATCGCTAGTGTCAATGAAATTTCGTTTTGATTATTAAGCCCCCCATACACGGGCGAGCATGTTCGCGAGCATGTTGGCGAACATGCTCGTCGCTCAGTAGCGGTTCCTAGGCCTATTCTTAGTTCTTAGCATGCTCGCGAACATGCTTGGCGGTTCCAAGAAACGGACGAACATGTTCGCGAACATGCTCGTCGCTCAGTAGCGGTTCCTAGGCCTATTCTTAGTTCTCTTGTGCTCTGTGTCAGTCAAGTTGCAAACTCCTGTATTTTGTCTGTAGTCAGTGTATTTAGCCTACTCCTGCTTTTTTGCTGCAATTAAAGAATTTAGTTTTTTTGCAACATACGCATTATTTCTTAGACATAAATCAGGGGTGATTTATTTTTGGCCGATTTTGTAGACCGTGTGTGCCAGGCCTTAAGTTATCGGATTAAATTCATCCGCTATGGTTTGAAAATAATGTTGGTTAAAATTACATCGTTGTGCAATAACATTTCTCGTAGTTTTGCTTATTCTAGCCTTTCTTAGAATTATTTAATTGTGACAAATTACTACAGAATTGATTGTACACATTTGTGTAATAATATACAAATATTTATTGATGAACCCTATATTTTGGAAACTCATATAAATTTGTATTTATTGCGTTACAAACACAAATAAATATTTATTTCGCTACTGTAAACATTGATTCTAAATCTATTACTGTAACTGGAATACATCAGAGTATCAACCCCATGATGATTACAAGTGCAATCTGTCTATTGCGGCTACTTTGTAATGGCGGTAACGAATTAATCGTTTGGAATCGGAACGGTTACTTGTAATGAGTCCACGAGTGTAACTGGAATCATAGTAGCGGCTACATCGATGGAATCATTTAGCCTATCTCTACCCAAGTTGCAGCAACGAACATGCTCTCGAACATATTGGTCGTCCCCACAGACGTGCGAGCATGTTCACGAGCATGTTCGTGTTCGGGCTCGCCAGGTCCGACGAGCCGAGCGCAACATGCTCGCTGCGACGGAACCCACACACGGGCGAGCATGTTCGTCGCCAACACCGTCACAAGCATGCTCGCGAACATGCTCGCCCGTGTATGGGGGGCTTTAAGTCTTTAAGTACTTTATGGGTCTGACTTAGGGGAGGTACGAATGAGGGATTAGTTCAAAATTCCTCCGTGAACAGCGCTGTAGTAGAGAGCATTTTGGCAATGAAGGTTTACTAATACTAATCGCAAAAACAGTTCTGTTCATAAAATAAAATTATAGGGTTATAATTTCATGATTTGTTTTTTACTGTTTGGTTAATTGGTAACTTACCGTACCTTGAAGTTTTCCCAAAATACAATTCGGCTGCACTTTAGTTTACGTCCTACATTTACTCATATAGGCCCTAAGCCTACTGCAGTTTGGTTGGTTAGGTTTAGAACAGTTTCATTTTATAATCAACTGGTAGTCTAGTTATTAAAAGTAAATGTAGGACGTAAACAGTGAACACAAAACAAAGTAAGTTAAATACAAAAGTCATGGTGACAATTGTAAACAATTGTACCGGTAGGCCTAGTTAAGTACCGTACGGTGGACTAACCGGTAAGTTTATTTTATAGGCCTAGCTGAAAAATAAAAATAACTTCACTTAAGATATTTACCCCCACCTTTGTCTTCGTCATGTAACCATTCTTGTTTTTTCGGGAGAGTCTTGAAATAAACAAAAATCGAAATCGAAAGGGATGTTAATGTGAGGGAAAAATAAATGATAAACGGATAGACTTCGTACAAAAATTCTAGAGCTGGCGTTAAAAGAGATATCATTTCGTCGCTTTGGCTTTATAAGCACGATTGAGTTTTACGGTGTAATAAGAAATAACATAAACCTAAACGTTAGGTTAGGAATACCGGCTTCTTGAAATCTTACTAAGGGTTAACCTAAAAATTTTGAAGTTTCAGACTATCAGACACTTCTTCCTTCACCACTTCCTTCACCCTTGGAGTCTGGACTGGAGTATAGACACCGCCGCCGTCAACAAAGACCAAACAGAAACAAAACAATAACAAACAAACAAAACAAACACAGCACAGCTAAAAGTCGGGTCTGACTTAGGGGAGGTACGAATGAGGGATTAGTTCAAAATTCCTCCGTGAACAGCGCTGTAGTAGAGAGCATTTTGGCAATGAAGGTTTACTAATACCAAAGATTAGCATATGTAATCTTTGCTAATACTAATCGCAAAAACAGTTCTGTTCATAAAATAAAATTATAAATGCCTCAAATTCAATTTTATAATTAATTTTTTAAATATAAAATTAAACTATCATAACCTAACCGAACTAACCAAACTTGCTAATAATGAAATAATATAACAAATGTTTAGTAATGAAAAAAACATTCTGTTTATTAAATAAAACTAGAAATTGCTAAATTAAAATTTTATAATGACTTATAAATTAAACTGTTAAGGCCGGTCTACACGCAAGGATTTCGCGAACGTTTTATCTGCGCAGGTAAAACGTTGCAGTCAAGTCGTTGCAAAGAAATGCGTCCACACGGTACAGGTTTCAGCACCAACTTTTAGTGCAGTTTTGTGATAACTTTCAGTGTATGTGCATGTAATATCATGGAAGATGTGTTTCTGCTGGCAATTTCTACAGCCAGTGTTACAAGTAAGCAAAGAAATAAGTCTGAGAGACGACGGCACTCGTATGGTCAAGACGTTGGTTACTAAAAAGACAACAAACTTCATAATAGTTTCTCTGTTCACGTTTGAATCTACTGCTTTGTATTTTTCAAAAGTATCTAAGTCTTTTTTCTTATCACAGTCACTATATTCCTTACTCTTGACCCTCCTTAAATTAAGAACTCTTCTGGACAGTTCGATGAATTCAACAATAAAATAACGGGAACATTGGCGAAGATCTGCGACCGTAATTAAAAAACACACTTATACCTCTGACAGCACGTGAAGCCAACACTGCATACTGGGGTTTTGAGCGTGAAGACGGAGTTGAAACGGATGACAGTGTCCACACGCAACGACTTGCCTGAAAACGTTGTCAAAACTATGCTCTCGGCAATAGTTTTATCGCTCCGTCTTCCGTCTCCACGCAGTTCTCAAAAATGCACAGTTTTGCGGTACACACGCAACGATTTGACTGCAACGATTTACTTGCGCAGGTAAAACGTACGGTAAATCCTTGCGTGTAGACCGGCCTTTTTAACCGAACCAAACCAACCAGCGAACACATAACAAAATAGAAGCGCTACTCGGAGCGAAGGAGCGTGGCAGTCTGACTAGCCGACGAAACGGACAAAGATGGCGGCGCTAGCCTAGTCCCGGCGTCTGTAACGCGCTGGTCGTCTGCTATGCTTCGAGTCAGGGTCGTTTACGTAGGCTTTGTTTGGATGTAAAAATACTTTTGTATAAAAACTACTCAGGTTTTTCTGGAGTATTATTATATTGTTGGAAATATCTTAAAGTAAATCAATTGTTTTACTTTATTATTGCCGACATAAAATTTATCTAATGAAAACCAAATTCGTTTAATCAGAGTTTACTTGGCTATTTCCAAAGTAATAGTTTAAGAATCGATAAGGTTGATGTTAGCCTCCGGATTACCAATAAACACAAACATAATTACTCTATTTTATTGATAAATTAAAATAACAATAACCAGCATTTACTCTGGACGGATAAAAAAAGAGTAAACTATAATAGAAATTAAAACTGGTCTTAATTTAAGTAGTGTTACACGTTACGAAGTAAATTGTTTATAAAAAAATAATTGAATAATTTATGAAGAAAATAGGGCCTAATAATAATTCTTTTGAGTCTAGAATCAAATAAGAGATTTATAAATCTTAAGTTATTGTCATTCTTTCTGTACTGTAGCTTGAAATACATTAGAGGTAAGTAACCTGCCTGCTCTACTGGTCTCACTTAAACGCGGCTTCAGGCTGTGTATTGATCACTCAGGGCTTGATTTTTAAAATGTCGATTACACAGTAAAAATTTGTGATTTTTTCTCATTTGTATTAGAACAATAACACAATCTGCCTCATTGTTAATTGAGGAACAAACCATGAATTTATTACTGGCAAAGGTGAATGTACTACCTGTTGTAAATTGTAATCGTAGGCATATGGTACAAACTATTCGACCTATTGTTTGGTCCAAAACATAAAAAGTCAATACTCGGAAATTGTAAATGAATTAGGAGTGAACATTGTACAGGGATGTCCCGTTAATCCTTATGTTACTCCGAATGGATTTCATTTGCAATTTCTTAGATTTCCCTTTTACGACAGCCCATTCCAGTTTTTTTCCGTCGGGTCACTCGGGTTAGTTCACCCGAGTTATTGACCTTCAATTTCAACTTAAATATTGTTTTGATTTTACGTGGCAATCGCAAAAGATAAATTCTTTAATACACACAAAAGTAGGGTACTACCATTGACTATGAATCCTTAATGGTACTACTAATGATTAAACTATTTTTCGGAAATTACTAAGTGGTTGTAATTTATTTCACTTAGTTAGTCGTCAGTTTAGGCTTATTGAAATATTTTTATACAAGACAATCATAATACTAAACGTGTTGTTTAGTTTTAACAAATTAAAAAATAAATGAATGAATTCATTTCCTATATTTCAGAACACTGTATACGATTATAATTGTTGAAATATTAAAACTGGTCTTTATTAAAGTAGTGTTCCCAGCTGTAAAATAAATTATTTATAATACAAAATAAACTGATAATTATAGAATCAAATAACAAATATTGTATCTGTTCGCTGTAAAATATGGGGCAAATTCAGTTTGAGAACACATAAACAAAAAATACTTGTACTTAAGGTAACGCTGTTATACTGAAGAGTTGGTGCGATGGCGATAACCTACATCCTGTTGAGAACTAGTCAAGTTATTGTTCTTTTAAAAAAATAGTACACATTTCTCAGGATATGAAATGGACAACAATCATTTTTGTTTAGTAATTAAAATGATTGCTCAAGTATATTACAATGTTAGAGTTCGCTACTACTATAAAATAAGTAACGAAAGTCTTTGCAAAAATAAAATTAGGCAACATCTCAATAAAACTGTAATTTTTCTGGGACAATAAATTGAGTGTCATTTTACAAATATTTGGGAAGTTTTTTTTTAACTTACATAATTATCTTTAGTTTATCTTGGATGATATTGAAAGCAAATTAGTCCTTAAAAAGCTGTGCTAAACGGTTGAAAATTCTTCATAGACAATATATTTGAAAATGTCTTTAATATATACAATATTACAGTCCAACAGTATAAATAAAACATTAAAACACTGCACGCTAAATTTATAGACGACGGCGGGGCAGCGGGCGTGGCGCGGAGCAGCGGCAACGGCCCTCTTGTAGGCTACCTGATATTTTTAGAAAACCACGTACGATAAAAATCTTTGGTGAATCGGATAGTTAAATTTGGTTATTTATCCACAACTTTCCCGCAGACGAAATTACTCTGACCAAAAAATAAAAAATTTCCTCGCAATACAACTTTTTCATGTCTGAATGTGAAAAATTAAACTACATATGTAATACAAATATTTATAAATCGATTACTATCATAACTAATAATTTTATATTAACACCATCGTTATCCTCAGTATCAGATCTACAAGTGTGCGAAATTTCAGCAATTTTTGTCAACTATTAATGTTGTTTATGATCGTGTATTTGTCGCGGGGTTTTTAATGCGAACTGTGCTCGCGGGCCTAGGATTCAGGCTGTATGACGGACCAAGATGGCGGATTTGGCCACACTTTCAGTGCATTTGGTTAAACGCCGTGTCCTCTCTATTATTATTATTATTATGTGCTCGCTGAAACCAACCAAACTTGCTGATAATGAAAAAAAATCTTGGACAAAAAGTTAGTGCTACAAGCGGGATTCGAACCTGGACCTTCAGCATATCAGCCCAGTACGCTAACCACTAGACCACCGAGGCCATTGGCCACTTATCGTATTGTTACGGTAATGGCGTTCCTTCAGCTAATAAGAAGTCCACAGCTGTCATCGTAGCCTCTTCTATACCTCCCCTGAGTAAATACCCTAAAAGTCGAACTCGACCGTCGACAAACCAAACTCAAATTGAATCCAAATCACAACAAATCGAACCTCGCTCGAACCAATCCGTCAGGAAGCAGCTAGGAGGATGTAACCATAGATTAAACATACTCAAACATTGATTAAACATTAAGGAGCTGTTGGCCCGTCCTACGTCACGGCCAAAGGCGGCCTACGTACAAGAATTGAGTAGTCAACTAAAACTGAAGTCATGTCAATATTTCCATTCCTAATCCAAGCAAAGTTTAAGCGGTTAAACATGTATTGCATACAAAAAATAATTTGCATAACCTTTCCTTTGAAGACTTGGGGGCAGAGCCTCAATTTGTATACATCAGTGGTTATAGAATCTCTCTCATTTCTTATAATCAATAGAAAAATCGCAGAATAATAAACTAACCTGATAGTTGTATTGAATATTTTTATATTCAACCAGCTGTTAGTTGAAACGAATTATATTGCAACTAGCTGGCCCGACAGACTTCGTCCTGTCCTAATGTGGTTTGATGTCAAATGCTCGTTCATTTTCAAGATGAGCTCGTTCGCATGGCTCAATCATGTCCTGGTTGAAGTTCGTTCGCTACGCTCACTCACCTTTAGGCTGGAGCTCGTTCGCTGCGCTCACTTGCCTTAAGGTTAGCTCGTTCACTACGCTAACTCGCCTCCAGGTTGAAGTTCGTTCGCTACGCTCACTTACCTTTTGGTTGCAAAATTAGCTGTTGTCATAAATAAAAAGAAAAAAAATAAATAATAGTGCTGCTCCCTGTTGGTAATCCTTGTAACTTTAAGCCTATTGAACATCATAGAACAGAACCAACTTGTTTAATTGAAATAGCTGTTAAGATTCATTAATTCCTTTTAAATATGAAAAA